GTGAAGGGTCTAGGCCCGAAACGTCAGCCTTCCTGCTCCTCTGATGCTGCTTGGCCTGCTGTGTTCATCCACCTCTACACCTTGTTATCTCAGATTCTCCAGCATCTGCAGTTCCTACTATCTCTGAATAGATTCTTATAATGGCTGACATTTTGCCATTGTGACACAGAAATTGCCTAATGCCATAATGTTATTAGGGGCTATTTCACTCATTGGCAGTCCCTCAGTTTAGAGATGCCATCTACACAGAATCAAGGGTTTCTGCAGTGGGCTTTCATGTCACTGAGCCATCTATCTACAGAACTTTGAACGCGTGAGGCAAGAAACCCCTCAGAATAGTGGGATCCGATTGAGAAATTCATTTCCTTTTCTTGCCTGTTCTGCCACCACTCTATCTAATCACATGAGACATTGTAATTCAAAGTATGTAGCTCAATAGATGAATTGTTGTCGGTTTGAATGCGGAGTAGCGAGCACTTTCTGGTCATTAAGATGAATGGTGTCAACCTACAGTGGACCTTCAAAGTATTTTCTTTGTCCCCCATCCAGGCATTCTGGCCATTTGAAAGTTGAAAAAAAATCAAGACTTGGCTGGGAGACACCATCCAGAATGTGTCCATTCCATCGTAGTCAGTTTCGGAGGAGTCTTTCTGGAGCTGGCTGCAAGAAGAGCATTGTTCTAAGATTCTCCTGTTGAATACGGATGGCGTGCCAGAGACGTTGCTGATGGAATTTCTGTTGTGCCCTTATCTGTAAGTTACATTAATATTTTAACATAAAAACAATGAAACGCACTCTTGAAAAAGAACTAATTTAGTTCCCGCTGTTCTCCTTTTTGTATCACTCCTCTGCACTTTAACTTTGTTTGAAATATGATTGTCTACTTGGCATTTTAGCCTTTGTTCTACATTCATATTTATTTTTAAATACACAGCTCATCTTTTCTTCTGTCTCCATTCTATTCTTGGAGAAAGTGAAGCAATTCCTCATGAAGTTGATGCATGGAATGGGGTCATCGATTTATAACAAAGGACTGGATAAATGAGTGTTATAAAACTTGATGATGACAAGGTTATGGGGTGATTTAACCAAGGCAGTTGGAAGTAATGAAGTGATTAACAGGGTAGCTTGGGATATTATTACTATTTTAGTAACAAGAGGATGTATTTGTAAAATTTAAAAGACACGAAAAGTAAATTCAAGAAAAACATCTCCATGTTTATTAGGATAGGAGGTCATGGTTGTGATGCAGAGAAAGAGCCAACATTAGGATTAAAAAGGAAATGGTGTCTGCAAACAAAATGGCAGATTAGGTTTTATGGAGCCAGTTGTCTATTGTTATCCTGTGTACACATCTGTTTAAATCATTTTATGACACAACTGCCTTTTCACACAGTCTGGATAACACTTTTCTCTGGTTCCATAAGTAATAAAGTCCTAGAAAATATCACTTGTATCAAGTGCTTTGCAGAAAATGTATACAGGCATCACCAGTATTACAAAGAAATACATAAGTAACAATATAGACACAAACATTTTGGCCCAACAAGTCCCTGCCTGTGTATTTTCCCTATTAGAGCTTCCCTTTTACTCTGACCCCATCAACATGTTATTTCTTTCCTCCTCATCTGAGCATCTGAGTTCTTCTTGAATGCATCCACCAAATTTACCTCAACTACAGCTCTTGTAAACAGCTCCGCATTCTAGGTGCTCACTGGGCAAAAATATTACCTCTGAAATTCCTATTGGATTTATGAGTGAATATCTTATATCTATGGCTCCTGCATCTAGTCTCATCACCACAAGTGGAAACAAGATCCCCAACCTGTCCAATCTTGTTGATGGGTACGACCTCTCTAATTCCAGTGCAATCCTAGCAAATCTTCATCATACTTTTCCAGAAATACTCTATATTCTTTTATTCAACTTGGAGTTCAAAATTGTCACAAAAAATAAGCGTGATCTAACAATGGTTCAATGCAATTTTAACAATTCCTCTCACTAGAATTTTTATTTTCCTGCCATTATTGATATATGCCACTATTTTTATTGATTCACGTACTTTATGTGTACATCTAAACCCTGCTAATGATGATATTTTGTTCACGAAACACATTCATATTCTGAAGACTGAAGCATGACTTGCATTAAAAAAAGAACATATACAGGCCGAGTAACAAGCAACTATGTAACAATGTTCCTCTACCTGATTTAGATACTTTTTCCAAGGAGTGTGTCACCTTTGGATTTACCTTATCAAAATGTAGTACTTTGCACTTATCGGTTTTGAACCTTGCTAACCAATTAATCATCCATCTGCCAGTCTATTTATGTCTTGCAGTATTTTATCTCATTTGAGGGAAGGACTAACTATTCCCTCCAATTTGCTGTCACTTGCCTAAGTTTTGAAATTGTGTTACTGATTCCGAAGGCAAAATTGTTTACGTTAAGTAGTCCAAGCACTGAGTCTTTGGAAAACTTCTTCCCACCATTTGCTAATCCAAGTAACAACTCACAATCTTGTTTTCTAATTTGTTACCAGTTTGCAATCCAAATTGCTGTATGCCCTCTGACTCCACACCCTCTGATCTTTATTGTGTAACTTAATATTGATGCCGTTGCAGGGGCTTTTTTTAGAAATTTAATTATTTCTATTGCATAACTCTTACCTGCCCCTTCCACTGCATTATTCTAGTCTACTGTTCTGTTACTAATGTAAGGCATTTGGGGATTAGGGAACTCTCCACTACACATCAACAGTTAAATTAACTTCACTCACCTACTTTGAAAACATGTATCTACTATTGGTCTCTATATGATCTGTCCTACAGAAGACAATCATAGAATCATACAGTTCAGAAGAGGCTTTTTGGCTCATATAGTCTGTACTAACCTATCTGCACTTATTGCAGGAAAATGAGACCAAGCCCATAGTTTTATATGTTATGACATTTCAAGTCCTCATCAAGTACTTTTTAAACACTGAGGTTTCCTGCCTTAACTACCCTTCTCTATAGTGCATTCCAGATTTTCACTACCTTCTGGGTGAAAAGAAATCTCGAAATCCCCTTTAAACTTCCTGCCATTCAACTTAAAATTGCGCCCCCTCATTAGTGACCCTTTAAACAAGAGGGAATGGCTTATTCCTAATCATCCTGTCCATGCCCTTCAATCATACACATCCCAATCAGGTTCCCTCAGCCTTCTCTACTCTAAAGTAAACACTTGAGCTTATCCAGCCTCTTTTCAAAGCTAAAATGGTCCATTCCAGGCAACAACTTTGTGGATTTTCACTGAACCCCCTTTAATTCAATCCTTTCTACAGTGTGGTGATCAGAACTGTATATGCTATTCCAGCTGTGGCCTAAGCAAAATATGTTACAGCTCCAATATAACCCCTCTGCTTTTATAATCTATACCATGACTGATAAAAGGCAAAATGTCCTATGTGGCTTAACTCCCCTATTAAGCTGTCCTGCCACCTTCATTCAGGGATTTGCAGACAAGCACTCCCAAGATCCATCTGTTTCTGAGCTTTCTAATGTCCTGCCATTCATTGAGTAATTTAATCTTGTTACTTCTTCCAAAGTGCATCACCTCTCAACTTTTTGGGGTTAAATTCCATCAGCTACTGATCTTCCTTTAACCCAAGACCACCTTCTTCACTGTTAGCCACCCAGCTAAGATTTGTGTCAACAACAAACTTACCTATCATACCTTCCACATATTGATCTACATCATTCATAAATCATAAACAATAAGGGACTCAGTATTGATCCCTGTGGTAAGCCACTGGACACCAACTCCAGCCACATAAATAGCCTCCAACCACCACCCTCTTATCTCCTGCCACTAAGCCAGTTTTGGATCCAACTTGCCAAGTTACCCTGGATCCCAAATGCTTTTACGTTCTTTATCAGTCTCCCATGTGGTAAAGACATTGCTAAAATCTGGATAAGCTACATCAACTGCACTAACCTTATCTGTACACCTGGTCAACTCCTCAAAAAATAAATCAAATTTGCATGGCATGACATCTTCTGACAAAGCCATGCTGACTATCCCTGATCAAACCTTTCCCTACCACTGTTGAGACACTTACTGGTCTGTAATGTCCTGGATAATCTCTACCACCCTCCCTGACAAGCGGAACCCTATTAACTGTCATCTAGTCATCTGCACCTCATCTATGGCCAAAGGGGAATTAAAAATCTGAGTCAGAGCCCCTGTAATTTCCTCCCTTGAGCTTGGGATACAACTCATCTGGTCCTGGGTACTTGTCCATCTTTAAGCCTGCCAAAACCTCACTTCCTACATCATTCTGTTCAAGAACTGCACAGTCCCTCCTTCTCCCAAGTGAAGACAGGTGTGAAGAACTCCACCACAAACATCAAACCACAATGTCTTCCTGCTCCAAACATAAATGGGTCTCATGGGTCTGACATTTTCTCTGCTTATTCTCTTCCCTTCAGTATAAGTGAATCGTACATCACAGAAACAGACCCTTTAGTCCAACTCATCTGCACCGACCAGACATCCCAATCTGACCTAGTCTCACTTGCCAGCATTTGGCCCATATCTTTCCAACCCTTCCTATTCATAAACCCATCCAGATGCCTTTTAAATGTTGTAATTGTACCTGCCTCCACCACTTTCTGTGGCAGCTTGTTCCATACACGGACCACCCTCTGCGTGAAAATTCACCCTCATGTCCTTTTGAAATCTTTCCCTTCTCACCTTAAACCGATGCCCTCTAGTTTTGAACTCCCTCACCTGGGGAAAAAACCTTGGCTAGTCACCCTATCAATGCCCCTCATTTTTTAAATCAACCTCTATAAGTTCCCCATTAATAGAATATTTTGAAATTCTCCCTAATCTTACCCTGTCAGTGGTTTTTCATGCCCCCTCTTTGCTCTCCTATTTGTTTTCTGAAGTTCCCTTTTGCACTTCCCTACACCACTTAGATCTCTTGATTTGCTCTCTTTGTACCTGTTAAATCTCTTCCTTTCTAATTATCCAGTCCTGAATATTCCTAGACATCATGGTTCTCAGAGTTTGTTGCTCCTACATTTCACTTTAAAGGGAAAGATGTTGGGGCAGTACTCTCCCCAGTACCATATTGTACACTTTTTTGCCGGCCCGCTCCCCCCCAGCCCCAAACTTAGGCTTGTCCCCTTTGCCTTTACAGCAACCAATTAAGTGAATGTATCGTAAGACATAGCTCCATCTTCCTTACAAAAATCTACAGTTACTCGCAGAGATCTTAAGGTGAAGTGTGTAGTGTCCATGCCTCCTGATTCAAGTCACATCCCAAGAATTGATGGCCAGATGTGTCGAAGATTAACTTGTAAACCCTTTCAACATACACTAATGGCAAACAGTAACAGCATGGGTAGTTCCTGGTTAACAATGTGATGTAAAGAAAATTGGAACCTATACCATCACTAGTGATAGTCCCAGACAACAGCCATGTAAAGGTGCACAGTACCACAGCAACACTGCAACACTCACTCCTAAGGTTGGTTCTGTTGGCTAGGCAACCGGTGTGGGTCATATTCAATCTCTGTTCTGACTGGGGTGGATTTGGGACCTGCCTCCTTTCCCTCTTCATTGTGCAGGTGGTGGATCTGCCATCAGCAAAGAACTCAAGATGATTATTGCTGCATGCCTGGCATTGGACTGACATCTTACAACAAATTGCAGGCACGTTCTCAGTGCCTTAAAAACTGACCTGTTCACTGCTGCTGGGAAAGAACGCAAGGTGTGCTGGCTAATGTAGTGCATGCCAAGTGTGGTGCACTGGCTAATCAGCACCAGAAACAGTCAATAATCATAAATCCAGATGAGGGCATTTCTTAAGGGGCACATGAATTTCCCATATTAATCATGTGAGCACGTGGAGGAGCATTAAGCAGAAGAAAAGTACGTTTAAGAGTTAGGTTATAACAGAATTTCTTCAATGAAGCAGTTGATATTTGCTGAAGTCTAATACCATGGGTGTTGAAAGTCTAAAGATTGAGCCTGTCAGGTCTGCAAAGGAGTTTTTTCCACTAAAACTGTTATATATCTATAAAAAGAAACCGAGAATCATAAGTTTTTGTGCGTGAATTTCTATAGTTTCATTAATAATAGTACGAGGCATGTGGAATGCCAATTAATTGAGAAAAGAAACACTTGTATTGTCCTCTTTAGAGCAGAGGAAGTTCAGGCTAGATTTAATAGAGGTACTCACAATTAAAGTGAACCTGTTCCTGGTAGCAGAAACATCAGTAACCAGGCAACACAAGACTTTAACTGTTTAGCAAAAGCATTGGAGAGTAGCAGTTTCATAGACCCAGCAAAAACACGACCTGCAATTCTGTGGGTAGACAAGAGATTGAACTGTTAAGGTTTTACTGATGGTCTGAGGTATATATGATTGAAAGGTATCACAATCAATCTGTTTAACATTTTGAGAAGGCAGCTCTCAACAGTTGCTTTTGCACTTCTGAAAATAAGAGTAGGCAAAGTATCTCCATTCTAAGCAGCTATGGTTTAGAAATTCAGAAGAAGAATGATGAATTTAACAGAAGTTGCATGCTTTTAGGTTAGGTCTTTTTGTTTTCAGAAAACTGAAAATCAGTACTGTGGTCCCAGAGAGATGGAGAAAAAAATTACAGATCCATTTGGTAGAACCTCTTTAAAAAGTGCCATGAGGTTATTAAAGCCCAGCTCTGGGCATGAGAAACAGAGAGGATAATTTGTACAAGATGCCTTCTGGTGTCCTCACAAGTTCTTTTTCTTTATTATATTTCCCCTGGTTTTTCCAAAACCACATCGTAGATCACAGCAAAGCAGCATTTCTACTGCAGGACAAAACTAAAATACAGTGGTTACTGGAAATCTGAAATTAAAACAGAAGATATTGGAAGGAAAACAAACAATGTTGGAAATCACAGCAGGTCAGGCAGCATCCATGGAGAGAGAGCACGCTAACTTTGAGTTGAGATGACTCTTCATCTAGAGGCAAAACATCAGCTTGCTCTCTCCATGGATGCTGCCTGACCCACTGTGATTTTCAGCATTCATCGTTTTCAGTACAGATTCCAGTATCTGCAGTAATTTGCTGCTAGCTATTGGAAGGACATAGCCAGCTCAGTCAGCATTTGTGGAGAGGGAGATTGATGCCAGACCTTGACTAACACCATTGCTTACATTAAGCCAACAGGGAGTGTAGAAAGAGTACATTTGGTTTTGTTGCTGTATGTGATGTAATGTTATGTAACTTTATTATTATTTTTCCTTCTTTTCATGTTAACGTCTGCCCCTTCTGGCTAACGTTCACCCACTCCTACTCTAGGCGTCCACCTCTAGAAGTGCCTCCTTAAGCATCTTCACCTCCTTCAAAATACTCCTTAAAATCTGGACAGCAGGAAAGCTGACGTTTCGGGTCGAGACCCGAAACGTCAGCTTTCCTGCTCCTCCGATGCTGCCTGGCCTGCTGTGTTCATCCAGCACTACACCTGGTTATCTCAGATTCTCCAGCATCGGCAGTTCTCTAACTCCTTAAAATCTCTCCCTTTGACCAAGCGTTTTGTCACCTGTTCTGGTAGTTCCTTTTTTCTGTCAAGTTGTGTCTGATTAAACTTCTGTTAAGGTTGTCAGACATTCTATTGCAGTGAAGGTGCTGTGCATAAATGCAATTTGCTGTTGTGTCAGAAATTCCACATAAAAGTTTACCATGCAAAATGAATGACCACCACTCTCGTGTAATGACACAACTTATGGATAATGGTTATTTTATTTAATTGTAGTACTCAATGTATTACATGTCTGTTCCTTCATAAGTCTTCACCAGTATAAAAAGAAAAAAAAAAACTTGTGCTACATGGGCTTGCAAAACACAAAAGACTGTAATCTATTATAAGCCTCCAAGGGTGAAAATCCAAAATAAGTTTAATTAAAAAAATTAAAAACAAAACATTTCCTTTCTTTTATTCGGGACAGCAAAACAGTGTGTACTTTCACAAAGATGCGTCTGTGTTCGAAATCATTCTCATACATACAGCAGTTTCACACACAGTGCTTCCATACTGTTTCCAGGTCACAGGCAAAGGTTCACAGTGCAGCACAGACTGTGACGGACTCTTATAACAAGGTGCTGATTTAAAAAGAAAGCCAGATATGGTATTTGTTGTTAACAGATTGGATGTTTATTTGGTACTGGCTAATTGAAAACTTGGGCAATGCTTAGAAGTCTTAATTCCCTCGTATGTTTAGGCTTGTAACTATTAACCAAAGCCATTGATGCCAGATGTACGTGCATTGATAGCTCTAAACCAAAGAACATATGAATCACAAAAGCTTTGCGTCCTGCCCATCATTTTTAAAACATATGCTACAAGCCTTCTGGCTCCTGTTTTTGGAGACCAGCCTGAAAACCAAAGAGCTGTGGATGGGGTTTCATCAACCCCGTTGACTCCCAATTCTGGACATAGACCAGTAAGGAAAGGGACGGAAAGAAAGGAAACAGCGAGGAAAAAGAAGGTACAAGGAAACAGCAGGTAAATGTGAACAAGTAGAGAGAAAAATTGCATTATGAGAGACAGGCAATTAACACTGAAACCAGGAGCACAGTGAAATCAGTAGGGAAAAGCAGGAGTGAGGAACAGCAGAAAGAACAATGTGAAAAAGGTGCAAAGAAGAATAAAAGCAAGAAAGAAAATGAAAACAGAAAAAAAAAATGTGACATAATTGCAGAAGAAAACAGGAATAGCAGCAAAAGAACAAATGAGAAAAATGAGAAAAGGGAAAGTGAAAAGCAAATGTTAAACTGTAAAAAACAAGTAAAACACAAAGACTTTGAAAAGACTGACATCTGCTGATAATGTGGCCACTTAAAAAGCGCCATCAAGTGGTCGCAGTTTAGCACGTGTCAGTGTAAAATCTCAAGCAAATATTCATGATTACCACTAATGGACAGTAAAAAGCTTCAAACAGTGCATTTGTAAGAGTCAGGCAGCTGTTAATTCCTCACCCTTAAAACAAATGGGTACACACCTGCATGTCTCGATACAGTGCATATGATGTTACACCAGCAACCTGTTTTCTACGTAAACTGCAAACACCTTCAAGGTTACTCAGCACTATAGTGCCAACATAACTACATCCCCTCCAGAATACCAAGCTATATATTACTAAAGTGGAATGGATTTTGGGTCACATCCCGACTAGTGCATTACATGATCATCAATTATTGAGAAAGTGGCTTGTCCTTACACTTAAGTTGAGCAAAAGCTCAAAAAGAAATGCAAAAAAAATATGCAAAATGCACACAGGATGTCCTAGAACCAAACGTTTGGTATCCACTCAAGTGATAACATTGTGTTTCTGCAGCAGTTAAACACAGTTTCAAGTCAGATTACATGATTATTTAGTCTATAGTACCTACAATTTATGTCCTTTGGATTCCAGCATTCAATCAGGAACAGAGTAGCACAAAGACATTTTATAAAACAATTTCCTCTCTTTTAGCAATCCAACATTGAAAACATCATATTCAAGCCTGACACCTTTCTTAAGGGACACGCACTGCTGACCCCATAGCCCAGATAAGCTCAGTGAACGCAACAGTACCAAACAGCAGAGATCCTCACCTACAGTGGTTTTCTATAGAGCCTGACTGTGGAGAAGTTTCACATCAGACACTTTTTCACAAAATCAATATTAAATACTATGTATTGAGCACTGGAGATGGAACAAGGATTTCGGGACTGGTAATATTTCTTCTCCCTTAAAGAAAATAGCAGCATATACCATCAGGACCTGGAAGCAGTATGTGAATAACACAGCTTGACATTTACCAACAATGTAGAATTAGAGCAGTACCATTATAAACAAATGTACATTTCCACAGTCACAAAGCAGTCTTTAGTACATCAGGTTAATTCAGATACGGTATTGGATAAGCATTTTCATTTCTTTGCTCATATTAAGTAACATGGAAAATAAATTAGAAAAACAGTGGGATTTGTTGAACGATCCATAGCACAGCTGTTGGTATGGGAATCCTAAATCCTCACGTCTCCAACAATGGAGAGACTCTGTCCTTAAATCCTGAAGACCTATGCTATAGGGACAACACCTTTCAACAGGAGCCATTGGTGGTTTCAATGATAAAGATTTTCTTTGTTTAAAGTTTGAGCGTTTTACTGATTGGATTTCTTAGTGCATCCAGACTGATTTAGAACATTCTGGAATACCTACTTCCTTCCAACTTCCATGTGGAAGCTCTTCCAGAGAGTTACAACTTGGGGTCTTTTTAAAACAAAAATCCTCCCTTCTTCCCTCACCCCATTAATCTGAAGGTATTGATCCTCTCTAGGGTAGAGTTCTGTAGTATCTGCTTCCTGGGTGCAGGTGACCATTTCCTAGCTGAGAGCCTGCCCTTAGACTTGGTGAGTTATTCACATAGCACTGCAATCAAAGCCAACCTGTTCACGCTCGACACACACACTTTCCTGAAAACAGACACTGGAGAGAGACAAGGAGTAGAAATGTTGGTAGGTTTTCCTAAACTAGGCGTGCTGCAGATAATTGTAATACCCCAATTTAGGTTCACTAAGGATCGAATAGCTCTGTGCAGGCCATACATCAAAGTAGAGGTCTCCTGTCCGATTAAATACAATACAGGACAAGAATCCTCCCATCCTGAGGGAAAATACTTAGTTGCTTAATTTATTCCCACTTCGAAGCATAGTGGAAAATTGAGGCAGTGAAAGAAAATACAGGACATGAAGCAAAACAGGCAGGATTGATTTGGCTGCCCAGTATATATCTGGTCAATACTGTATGACAGGTGGCTGAAAAGATTCAACTTGCAATGACCAATTTCACTCCTAATGGACTGAATAACCTTGTAAAAACTTCTAATGCACTGAAATCAGGAATGACGCAGCTACCTGGTTAAAGACTTAGACATAAATAAGACACATTCTTCTTTTTCTCAAGCCCTTTAAACTCGACTTTTGGAAATGGTCAAACATCTCACACGCTCCCATTGACTAGTGGTAATAACCTTTGAAATAGGCAACTGCCAAGAACCGAATTGTGAAAGTGGTATTTATAGTAAACCGGGTCAGAGATCTGAACTCCTCACAGGAAGCAGTCATGCAATCAAAACTGAATGCTGATAGTTTATGTTATGTAAATCAGCAGCTAAGATGTAAGGCTAGGTCTACATGAATGTACTGTTTACACAAACGCAGAGAAACTAATACAGAGATTAGTGTTCTAGCACCAAATACTTAGGATAGATGCCAGATTTTCCATATCTACAACTTACTTAAGCTTCAAGACACAAAGATTTGCAGTATTACTAGTCACTTTTTACCTGCAAATCTAAGAATTTTGATGCACTCTCAGGCATTAGTTTGCAGGCATGTTAGACCCTGCAGCAAGAGCTCCTGACTTTGTCATGTTTAAGGCAGGTGAGATCCAATTAATTCCCAACGAGAATTATAACTTAAAAAACACATTTTGGCACATTAAAATAAAAAGGTCCAAGGTATTTGCAAAAGCAAAAAGCACACACAGTCAAGGTTAAATTTCATCATAAGACTATTAATATTGTGCAACATGTAGGAAATCAATGCAAACATGGTTTCTTTTCCAGTAAACTACAAGCCTAATTTTGAACCACATATTCTGACCTATGTCACATTATTTTAAAGCTCTTGTGCTGATATAAGTTATGGGGAAAGAAATTAATTCTGTTAAAAGCAAATGCCCTTTGGTGCTTATAGTGCCAGATTTTGCACCATCACTGCACCAGTCTATATAAAACTGTACAACATAAGTTATTAGTGTCAAAAAAAAAATCAGTACGCACTCCTTCAAGAAATAACGTTCTTTTTAAGGAGGCATAGTTAAATGCATAAAAATTATATTTTTAACTATCAAAGCTATGCTAACAAACCTTTATGTACACTGCAAACTTTGAGCAACACCACAAAGAAAAACAGCCACCTTTCCCTCTTCACTGATAGGTAGATACACTCAAATCAAACAGAGAATCTGAATGATTTACTGAATAGATCTATGTTACAATTGGAAAAAAAACAGGCCCATCCCCACCACCCGCCCACTCAAAAAATAAAAGTTAGGAGTTAGAAATCTGTACAACTCTAGTTATATCACAAAATGAGGTTCAAAGCTTGATATTTGTGACAAATTGCTGTGGATCACTTGCAAGCACGGTGAAAGCAAAGCACAGAATTGCTGTGAGGGTCAAAGTGTGGGAAAGATCTCAGCTCTTGTGAGTTGTTTTTATTTCTTGCCAGTCAACCAAAGACATAACTTCATCTATAAAGTGAATTTTTGAACAATGAATAAACCATCAAAAAACACATTAGAGCCTAATTTAAACATGGTGTGACAGCAATATAGGAGCTGTTTTTTATATTATCACCACAGTGCAAATCAAACCCATTTGCCAGCTTACGAAGCTGAGGAAAGCTTTTAATGAGGCTACCTTCAGGCTGAACAGCCAAGGTAGGTCCCTTATTTGGCTGACTTGATAACAAGCACAATCCTCATGCCAAAGCCCTGCTCAGAAAGGTAGCCAATAGCCTGGCTTATGAACCAAGGCTCTTTAAAAAAAGGTACATATTAAATAACCAAAAAGTAACCATCTTCAGACATCACATGTTGCAGGCACTCTCCATAGGCAGCCACTATTGAAGTTGTGGGGGTTGGGGAGGCATGAGGAGGACCATAATGGCCGTGTAAGCATTTGACAAAATTACTCTCAAAGATTCAGAATGCATTTCCTGGGCGTGGGTTTGGGGGTGGGGGGTGTTAGGTGGTGTGCACCAGAGTCCTATAGACCACAAATTGATTTGCTCTAATACTATCTAACTGCAGTCAGTTTTTTTGGCCCACATGGATAACATAAGGCCAAATTGTGGTTTACACTTCAATATGCAGACTTCACTTCTATCTATCAAGAGCTGAAAAACAGGAAGTAATGGCCATAAGGAAACAGGGCAAATGTTTCACCCACAATTATATCCAAATGGCGCCCTCCCCTTCCCACAGCAAAACAAAAGTGCTGCACCGTACTCAAATAACCTTCTGATAAGGCTCATAAGGATGTGTATTTTATTCTTTGCCTTAGATCATTGTTTAAAAAATATATAATGCAAAGCTCTGACACTGCACACAAGAAGCAGGCACCTCCAGTTTGAAATAGGTTCTTGGCACTGACTAGTTGCTGGCTCCTAGCCCAGCTACAGGTTAAATATTTCTTGCTTGGCTAGGAAGGTTTAGTAAGCGGATTTCAAATGGCCAAAGATGCCAATTGGGAAGTATTTCACATGAGAGGACCACTGAGCAGCAAGCTGGAAAAATTTCACATCATTCCATTCCACTCCATCAATTGTTACTGGAAGAGAAACAGAGAAACAGTAAGCAGGATGTACAACAATGTCTGTACTTTCTGTTGGGAAAAGAAATCTAGGTAGATGAGAATCTCTTTTGACACGCTTTATGATCTGGAATTTGGTTTAAAAGATTAGTGGAAGGAGCTATGTAAATACCCTCTGAACCTCTATAACAAAGTACTGTTGTGAAATGTTCAAGAGATATATACTTGAAAAGGAACAAATTGCATAGCCAGTGGGAAAGTACAGGGGGTAGAACTAAGTAAATAGGTTTTTAAAGAACTAGTACAAGCCTTTGGCCCTGTATGACTGGTTAATAAAACAATGAATAATCACCACCGTGCCGACTCGTGCTTTTACTTGCTAGAGAGGAAGTGAATCCTGTCTGTATATTGTATCAACTACAAGATGATCCCTGCATGAATTCCCAGTGTTTTGAAGTGGGAGCATTTCCAAGGAATTTTTCCACTAATTATGCATTTTATATTAAAAGCCAAATGTCTAAGCAAGCAAAAATAAAATTTGAACTACTCTGGTTTATTAGATAGGTGTCCAAAATTGTTAAGCTTGCAAAAAATGGCTCTTTCCTAGCAAGACAGCACATGCACAGGACATGAATCTCTGGAAAGTGGAGTGGGAAGGAAGGGGTTCAGCAAAACATAATTGACAACCTCTAAACTAACCTCAACTAAAATAGCCTCATGGCTGGAACCAGGATTCAGCTGTGGCTCTGGGACAGTATTCTCACTCACTCAAACAGACCTGGGTTTAAGCCCCATTCACAAAATTTCAAAATAAAGCAAAATACTGTGGATGCTGGAAATCTGAAAAAAAAGTTGAAGAAGTGCTGAAAAAATGCAGGAGATCTGATGGCATCTGGGTGGAGAGACAAACAGAGTTAATGTTTCAAGTCTGGAATGTTTTGTAGAAATTCCGAAGAACTGACTCTGTTTTGCTCTCCACAAATGCTGCCGGATCTGCGGTGCACAAAACATTAGCTGGCACTTGCATTGCAGTACTGGGGGAGTGCTACACTGTCAAGAGCCATCTTTTGGATGCCATCTTAAACTGTGAACATAGTAGAACACAAGACAGTGTCCCTCAACCAACAGTAATGAAAAAAAAGGCATCGTCTGATCATTATTATAGTAGGATCTTACAGTGTGCAATTGGCTTCTGCTTTTCCTACATTACAACAGTGACTACATTTAAAGTGCACCATTAACTGTAATACACTTTGGGATGCCCTGAGTTTGTTAAAGGCACTGTATAAATACAAGTCTTTCTTTAGGTTCTCTCTGAAACATCATAACTAACTGGGTACATAACCACTGAATCGCTAAGAAAATACTGTTGTGAAATGTTCTGCAGCTGTGAATCCAATTTCCTTTGGTCTTACCTCGCAGCATAGTCTGTTGCTGCTTTGCAGTACAGATTAATCGGCTGATGCCTTCAATCACTTGGCTCTTAGATTCCAGCTCTTTATCTTTTGCCTTCTTAGGCAAAAACATCACTATAAGAAAGCGTACAAACATAGTTTTACAAATAATAAAACATTAATGTCTGAAGGAACAGCTGCAACTCTAAAAGAATTTCTACCACCAACTGACGTATAATAGACTGATTAATATGCCATCACAGACCACTTTCCATAAGGAATAAAGGGGACAGGCCAAATTAAACGCTGGTCCATCTTAGCAATTACAATGGTAATTAAAGTTGATCTGTTCTGTGCAATCTCTTACCCTTTTTGTTCTTCTCCTTTGTTACTACTGTCATAGACATTGTCGGCAGGGTTGTAATTTCTCCACCGCTTGGCAGCCTGCTGACCTGAAGGGAACGGAAGGTGCACTTCAGTGTGTTCTTTGCTGTGGCATCCTTCTTCTCCGGATCTTTCTTCTTGTCGGTCACCTGCTGCGCAATCCAGTAGTCAACCTGCAGTCCCATCAGTTCTCCACTGTGGCCAAGGCTCTGTGAACTAACGAGAGTCGAGTATCATGACATTACTGACTGCTAGATAGACTGGGACTTTTTCCATTGGAGTGTGTAGGAGGTTGAGAGGTGACCTTATTGTTTATAAAATAATGATAGGTATAGATAGAGTTGATGATAGTTGTCTTTTCCCTAAGATGAGGAATTTCAAGACTAGGGAGCACATTTTTAAGGTGAGAGGAGAGATTTAAAAAATACATGAGAGGCAATTTTTTTTTTTTTTTTTTTTTAAACACAGAGGGCGATTCACATGTGGAATGAACTTCCAGATGAAGTGGTGGATGCAGGTATGATTACAATGTTTAAAAGACATTTGGATGGATATATGAATAGGAAAGGTTCGGAGGGGTATGGGCCAGGAGCAGACAGTTGGGACTAGTTTAATTTGCGGTTATGTTCGGCATGGACTGGTTGGACCAAAGAGTCTGTTTCCATGCTGTATGACTCTACAACAACATTGGACATGACTATCTGAACTGAATGTGGTAACTGTGAATATGCAACAGCTTAGTGAGAGATGGATTGACCCATGTAATTCCCCACAGGATCAGCTGAATGTGTTCTGTGGAGGCCAAGAGCTTTCTCATAGAAAAGGAGGAAGGTAAAGAAGTTAGAGGACAAGTAGATAAACACTACTTACATGTGCCAGTGAGCAGTCATGTGGTTAGAGTCAGAGAAATAGTTACAAAAACGGAAGAAAAACAGATTTTTAACATAGTTTAAATTCTTACATAAAACAAAGAATGTGGATGCTGGAGATCTGAAACAAAAATAGAAATTGCTGACGAAACTCAGCATGTCTGGTAGCATCTGAGCAGAGTTAACTTTAAAGCAGAGTACACTGACCCTTCACCAGAACTGATGGCTGCCAGAAAGTTGTATTTATGATGGGGGGCGCGGTGTGGAGGAGTTAACAGACAGATGGAGCCCACAGAGACAGACAAAGACATGAAAGGGCGAGACAGATGAGGGGATTATTAATAGTACGTATGGACAGAAGAGAAGCAGAGTAAATGGTAATAAGAACAGAGAGGAGGACAGAATGGGCTGGCTATGCTAAAAGCAACCCATATAATGTGATAATAGGCACAGGAGTAGATGAGAATGGGTGATTGTGCCAAAAGCAACCCATGTCATACAGAACCAGCGTGTGGGGGTAGGTTTAAAAAAAACAAAGGCAGAATCAGGTTCTAAAGTTATTGAACTCAATGTTGTGTCCTGGAGGCTGTACGATCTCTGTCCTTTGAGCTCGTGCTGAGGCTTGCTGGAACACTGTAGCAGGCCTGCAACAGAAATGTTGGCCAGGGAACACAATGGTGTGTTGAAGTGGCAGGTAACTGGAAGCTCAAGGTCATGTTTACGGACAGAACGTATGTGTTCTTCAAAGCAGTTATCCAGTCTGCATTGTCTCCACAACGTACAGGGGACCACACTATGAACAGCGAATAAGGTAGACTAAATTGACTAAAGTGCAGGTGAATCACTGCTTCACCTGGAAGGTGTGTCTGTGGCCTTTGATGGTGAAGAGGGAGGAAATAAACAGCAGGTATTGCACCTTCTGCGGTTGCAGAGGAAGGTGCTGTGGCAATTTGAGGTGTTAGGAGTGGACTAGGGTGCCCCAAAGGGAACTGTCCCTATGGAATGCTGACAAGCAAAGGGAAGTGAATGTGGGTCTGGTGGTAGCATCCCATTTGGAGGTGGCAGCTTACTATCCTCTGGATATAGAGGCTGGTGGGGTGGTAAGTGAGGACCGGGGACTCTATGAGTGTTGAGAGGGAAGAGAATGGGTGAACACACAAGTGCGGGAGATGAGTTGGACAAGGCTAAGGGACCTGTTAACTATGGTAGAGGGGACTGCTTGCTCAAGGGAGAAGGTGGACAATTCTGTGACCCTGCTGCAGAAAGTGGCATCATCAAAAGAGATGTGACAGATGGAGAAACTGGGAGAATGAGAAGGAGTTCTTACAGGAAGCAAAGTGTGAGGATGCATAAGCCAAGTAACTGTTAGAGTTTGTGGATTTGTAACGAATACTATAAAACCACATAGGCCAGGAGAAATAGGAACAAGATTTTGGCTGCTCAAGCCTGCTCCACTATTCAGTAGGATCATGGCTAATCTGACATTTCCTCACATCCACTTTCTTGCCCTTTTTCCATAACCCTTGATTCCCTTACTGATCAAACATCTATCTACCTCAGCCTTAAATATACACAACTCTGTCCCCACAGCTCTCTGTGGCAAAGAGTTCCAAGATGCACAGCCATCAAAGAAATTCCTCTTTCTCTCATTTTTAAATGGTGGCCCTTTATTGTGAGACTATGCCCTTTGGTCCTGAAGGGCAACATCCTCTCAGCATTTACCCTGTCAAATCCCTTATGAATCCTATACATTTCAATGAGATCAACTCTTTTTTTTTAAACTCCAGTGAATAGAGTCCCAGCCAGTTTAGCCTTTGCTCATAAAAAAACCCCTTCATACCAGGGATCATCCTAATGAACCTTCCCTGAACTGTGAAATGATATCTTTCCTTAAATTAGGGGACCAAAACTGCTCACAATACTCCAGATGTGGTCTCACCCTCACCTTGTACAGTTGCAGTAAGAGTTCCTTACTCTTAAAATCCAACCCCCCCTGAACAAGGGCTAACATTCCATTAGCCTTCCTGATTAACTGCTGCCACCTCTGTGTTAGCTTTTTGTGTTTCATGTACAAGTATCTCCAAGTCCCTTTGTGTTACAGCTTTCTGCAATTTTTCAGTTTAAATAATACTGTTCCCCCTTCCAAAATGAACAACTTCACATTTTCCCACATTATACTCCATTTGCCAGTTCTTTCCCCCACGTACTTAACATATCAATATCATGCTGTAGAGTGTTTGTATTCTTCTTGCAACTTGCCTTTCCACCTATTTTTGTGTCATCTGCAAATTTGGTTGCAGTACATTTGCTTCCTTCCTCCAAGTCATTAACATATATTGTAGACTGTTGTGGCCCCAGCACTGATCCCTGTGGAACCTACTGGTCATAAGTCACCACTCAAAAAATAGTCCCTTATCCCCCACTCACTATTCTCTCAGTTCTGTATCCATGCCAATTTACTATCTCATCAGCATGGGTTCTTATCTTATGACAGTGAAGTACCTGGTTGAACGCCTTTTGGAAGTCTATATACAACGCATCCACTGGTTTTCTCTCCACCCAGTTTGGTTTGAGACTGCTCAAAAAACACTAATAAATTAGTCAGACAATTTTCCCTTTCTTAAAGCCACACTGACTTTGATGGATTAAATTATTATTTTCCAAAGGTGATGTTATTACTTCCATAATAATTGATACCAATGTTTTTCCAAAAATAGATGTATGGCTAATCGGCCTACAGTTACACACATTCTGCCTCCCTCCCTTTTTGAACTGCATATCACAATGTATTTTTCCAAATCCTGTAGTACTTCTCCAGAATCCAACAAATAACAAAATTCCAACCAATACTTTCACCATCTCTCTAACTACTTCCTTTAAGATCCTAGGATGCAAGCCCTCAGCGCCAGGGGACTTATCTATCTTTAGCCCCATTAGCCTGTCTGACACTTATTCTCTAGTGATGGTGATGGACCTTAATTCCTCCCCTGTATTCTTTAGTATCAATGCCATGTCTGAAGTATCTTTCTGGTAAAGACTGATACAGGAGTTAAATGGATATTTTGTAATTTCCTTGTTCCCCATAACTGTCTCTACAGATCCATTTTCTGAAGAACTTAAGTTCACTTTGACCTTATTTTTTGTATATTTATAGAAGGTCTTATTGTCAGTTTTTATACTCCTCATTAGTTTGCCCTCATACTTTTATTTTTTCTGCCTCCTTTGCTGGATTCTGAATTTATCCCAGTCTTCAGGGTGACCACTTTGGCCTCCTTATATGCTTTTTTCTTTTAAGTTAATACTCTCCTCAACTTCCTTGGTTAGCCATGGTTGGTTTATCCCTCTCATAGAATCTTTTTCTCCCTCCTGCGATGTAGTTTTGCTGAGAGTCATGAATTACCTCCCTAAAAGTCTGCCATGGTTTGCTTACTCTCATTCCTGCTAATCTATCCACCCAAGTCACTTTAGCTAAATCATCATTTCATTGTAATTCCCTTTAAGTTATATATAGTTGTTTCCAATGCAAGTTTCTCACTCTTGAACTGAATATTAAATTCTATCATGTTATGATCACTACTTCCTAGGGGATCTTTTACTGTGAGGCTATTTATTAAACTTGCCTCATTACCGATTACCAGATCTAAGACATCCTGCTCCATGGTTGGCTCCATAATTCTCCAGGAAACTATTCCTAAAGCCCTCTGAATTAGTTGTCATAGATACCCTTTCCAATTTGATTAGGCCAATCAACAAGATTAAAGTCATCCATGGTTATTGTTCTATTCTTTCTACATGCTCCTAATATTTGTTCATTTATAGCCTTCCCCATAGAGTGGCTACTTTTTGGGGGTTTGTCACTACTCTTACCAAAGCCTTCTTTCCTTTCCTGTTTTGTTTTTACCTCTGTGAAAATGGACTGTACATCACTCAAGCCTAGATTATCTCTCAGAACATTTCATCTATTATTAGCACTGCTACCCCCATCACCTTTTCAACCCCTCTAGGCTTCCTGAAAGGTCAAATATCCCTGAATATTAAGTTACCAGTTTTGATCTCCTTGTAACCACATTACTACAATGGTTTTGAGATCATATTCATTTACCTTGATTTGCACCATCAATTTGTCCACTTTATTCCAAATTCTCCATGATGCAAAGCCTTTAAATTTATTCTATTATCGAACTTCCCTACACTTTTATGGTTCATTGGGACAATATGACATTCACACCTTCTGTCCCTTTCTTTTATTCTCTAGTAAACAACTAGGCCAATCACTAATCTGCAATCCTACCTTCTCCTTTACCTATGATTTTATATTTTTCCATGTGACTGAACACATCCTCGCATTATTTTGTTGTTTAAATCCCAATCCACAGCCCTAGTTATGCAATTCACCAAGACTCTGGTCTCAGTGTGATTCAGGTGGAGTCTGTCCCATTGTAATAACTCCCTTCTTCCCTAGTACTGGTGCCAATGTGCAGGAAAAAATGGGACTCGATAAATAAGACTTTTCAGACAAAGTGTTGAATTCTTTTGGAACTGATAGGTGTTGTATAAGGCCACTTGACAGAGAAGTTGATTTTCTTTTGTGTTTTTCCTGATGCGCAATGTTGAGGTTTCCTAATTCAGGCTTCTACCTCAATCTTTCTAAGTTGAAAGGTAGGGCCCCTTTGCACCCTCTCATCTATACATGTGTCTAGTGAGTGTTAACAAAAATGACCACCAGCATGAGGCAAACTAAAAACTGATTTCAAGCTAGAGGTGCTTAGAGGCAGAGGGTAGATATAGTCTGGCAGCTGCCTTCTTTAGGCAGAAGACCGGGAAAACAGAGAGGAGGGAGGGAGGGAGGGAAGAGCAAGAGGTTTCCTGAGGGGAATTCTGGCATCTAGAGAGCAAGACACTAAACACTATCCATTCGTTCATCATCCAGGATCAAACAACTCTTGGCTGTCACAAATACAATGCTGTTCGTATCTATGTAGACGATGCATCATATCACAACTATTGCTTCTTAACTTGATTAATAGACTACCTTAAAATAATTCACAAATTCTCAACTGCCTTTTAATCTACAAACCCTGAACCTCAAAACTCACACATAAATTCCGTGACTACGAGAGCAGGTCAGGGTCTGGGAATTCTATGGTGAGTAATACCCGTTTGACACTCCATCCACCACCTTCAACAATCAGCTCCCTCTCTCCTGACTCACAACGGAAGCATTGTGTACCAACTACCAAACGCACAGCAGCAACTCACCCAGGTTCCTTTGACAACATGTTTCAAACTCACAACCTCTACATCTAAAAGATAAAGGATAGAAGATGCACGGGAACACCATCATCCGCAAGTTCCTTTCGAAGTCACACATCATCCTGACTTGGAACTATATTGCTATTCCTTCACTGTCACTGGGTTACAATCCTTAAACTCCCTTGCTTGGGTGTACCCACACTCCATGCAGTAGAGTGGTTCAAAGTGGCAACTCACCATCACTTTCTCAAGGGAAATTAGGGTTGGGCAAAAAGCACTACTCTAGTCAATGACACCCACATCTCATGAACTCCAAAGCCTGCCCACCATCTATAAGTCAGGAGTGTGATGGAATACTTTTCTGGATGAGTGCAGCTCCAACAACACTTTCGAAAACTCAACACCATCCAGGACAAAGCAATCCACTTGCCAGTCATCCCAACCACTATATTTAACATCCATTCCCTCCAACGTTGACACATAGTGGCTGCAGTGAGTACCATCTACATGATGCACTGTGGGAACTCACATAGGCTCCTTTGGCAGCATTTTCTAAGTCTGCAGCCTCTGTCACCGAAAAGGGAAAAGGCACCATCAATGCAAGTTAATCTCTAAACCACACAAATCCTGACTTTGAACTACATGACTTCATGGTTGCTGGGACAAAATCCTGGAACTCTCTTGCTAACAGCACTGTAAGTGAATTAACCCAGAAGGATGGCAGCACTTCAAAAAGGTGCCTCACCTCTGGCCTTACCAGCGATGTTCACATTCCAGGAAAGACTTAACACGCTTACCTTGAGTACAGTCCACTTCCAACAGAGGGGGACGAAGGTGGTGTTGGGGAAGCTTCTTTCATTGCTGGAGACAGTGTCGGAGGAGTAGAAGACAAGACACTAGGGCCTGAAGTAGCAGCATCATCGGAATCTCCTGTAAGTAATGTAACTTTATTTAGCACCATTGCGGTATGAGCTAGCAATGCAAACCTAAAACATGTTTTAAAGAAATCTCTAACTAATGACAATATCAAATGCCTGAAAGCACAACATTCATTTGACCGAGAGTAAAGTTCCTTCCCATCATGGTTCCCAAACTGGGTTCCACAGATACTTCCCAGGAAACCCCTGAAATAATGTGAAAATTCTGCTGCTTCATGTGCAATGCAGTGTGGGCTGTCTGTCTCACCTGGAGAAGTACAGAGTCGCACAAACACAAATGCCCATTTTCTTAAAAGTGTTACTGAAAGACTTGTAACGTGCAGCACTTGTGTTAGAATTGAGATTAGAGTACAGCGTTGACCCATGATTGCTGGCCCATTTGCGCAGGGATAATTCAAAGAAACAAGCTTGAGAACCACTTCTCTGCATGACCTCACACATATCTCTTATCATTTACAGGGTACCGATTTGTGCTTAGAGGAAATTACCAACCTGATGTCGCTGAAGACTGTTCCACAATTCCAACTTTCACCACCTGCAATATTATAGATTCAGTACAATGTATTAAAAGTGCAGAAAGCAATAAGAATCAGCAGCCAAATACTATGAAGAACATTTATTGATATACAGTTTGTAGGCATATTTCCCTTAGGATCAGTTATATGAAACATTCTAGACTGCTTGTACAGTATCTGGAGCACAAGACTCTCAAATCCTGATAATACAGATTCAGCCTTTCGATTCTAGAATGGAGAGTACAGCTTCTCAGCACCTGGATTTCATGGAATGTTTACCCTCTATGTTCCTGTTGATTATATACAGGATACAACCCATCATTTGGTTATTAAACAAAAAAAAATCACTGATGCAAAAGCCAACTATGCAAACGTTTAATACATATACTTCAAAATGCAAGCATACACACCTCAACTCACTTCCTCCAAGACATGCATATATATTCAACCTTTTTCCAAATGGCATCAGTTCCTCAAATCTCTTCATGCTGAACACATTCAGCTGTCCTCCACAAAGAAACACAAGTTTTCCTTCAGCACTCCCTCCATGTTCCTGCTTAAACTTACAGACTATCCTTACACCACCCAGAATACACGTGTACACTTTTTCAGGTCACTTGCCCACCAAAATCACTCTACAATCCCCCTCTGTCTGTCTCTCTCTCACAGACACACACACACAATCTTCAATGAAAATCCTAGTGTACACTTGTTCAACCACAACCTCCATCCAACTAAATGCCAACACCCCTGCAACGCTCATCTCTAAACAAACACACAAAATGTAATGTTCTTTTCTGTTGAGTTCATAAAACATATTCTCTCTTTTGAGAGCATAAGAATTAAAAGCAGTAAACCTGATGGCCTCTTGGCCTACTCCACCATTCAAGATGGCCATGGCTGATCTGATTGTCAATTTTACTTCACATTCTTTCCTAATCTACATAACCCTCGATTTCCTTGGCAATCAAAAATCTAACCCAGTCTTACAAATATTCAATAATCCAGTATTCACTGCTCATCCCAGGAGAAGAATCCAGACGCAATAAGCCTTTGAGAGAAGAAATTCCTCTTAATTTTTGTTTTAATTAGGAACTTCTCATTTTGAAACTGCACCTCCAGGTCTAGATTCTCCTGCAAGGTGAAATATCTTGATCCTAGGTACAATCAATTCACAGTACTAGTTAGAATCAATAGCTAGTAATACACAGCAAGACAGTCCATAACAGAGAAGTGACTAAAATTTACCTAACAGGAAGTGAATGAAGATGATTTCGGATGGCAGAATAATTCCTGAAGCGTGATTTAAGCAGGATTTGATGGAAAGTGACATGACAAAACAGAGAGATTTAGGAATATATGACAACAGTTGAGCACGAACTGAGGAGACACCAGGAACACAACGTTTGAGACTTTTTTCCCCTCATTCATCTCTGGCTGTGGTCACCTTAATTGCCCAAGAGGTGGCGACGATGAGTTGCCCTCTTGATTAACAGCCTCCATGTAGTATAGGTGCATCCACAGTGCTGTTAGGGAGGGAGTTCCAGGATTTTGACCCAGCAACAATGAAGGAATGGCGATATATTGTCAAGTCAGGATGGTGAGTGGCTTGGAGTGGAACTTGCAGCTGGTGGTGTTCTTATGTATCTGCTGCCTTTGTCCTTCTAAATGGTAGAGGTTATGGGTTTGGTAGATTCTGTGGATGCAACCTTGGTGAGTTATTGCAATGCGTCTCGTAGATGGTACACTGCTGCCACTGTGTGTCAGTGAATGAAGTGAATGTTGAAGGAGTTAGTTGAAGTTCCAGTCAAGTGGGCTGCTTTGTCCAGGATGGTGTTAAGCTTCTTGAGTGCTGTTGGAGCTGCACGCATTCAGGCAAGTGGGAAATATTTCATCACAGTCCTGACTTGTGCCTTGCAAATGGTGGACAGCCATTGGAATGTCAGGTGGTGAGTTACTCGCTGCAGTATTCCTAACCTCTGACTTGCTCTTGTAGCCACTGTATTTATGTGATAAGTTCAATTGAGTTCCTGATCAATGGTAACCTCCAGGATGTTGACAGTGAGGGATTCAGTGATGGTAACTCCATTAAATGTCAAGGGGCGCTGATTAGATTGTCTCTTATTGGAGATGGTCACTGCCTGGCATTTGTGCAGCACAAATGTTACTTGACACTTGTTAGCCCAAGCTGTCGATTGTTATAAAGCCCTTTTGGTTCACTAATGTCCTTTAACAAAGGAAATCTGCCATCCTTACCTGGTCTGGCTTACATGTGACTCCAGACCCACAGCAATGTGGTTGACTCTGAACTTTCCAGTCAGTGATGCCCACATCCCATGATTGAATTTTAAAAAAATGACAGAGTGTATTTTCAAATGAAGGCAAGACCTCATCTCTTAAAAAAAACTATTTGGTGGTCACTCCTCCCAATACGGCCACGGGCAGATAAATCTGGTACAAGTAGATTGGAGAGGATGAGGTCAAGTAAATTTCCCCCTTTTGTTGATTCCTTCACCATCTGCTGCAACTTCAAACAAGCAGTTATGTCCTTTAAGATTTGGCCAATTTGTTCAGTACTGGTGCTACCTAGTCACTCAATAGCAGACAGTGAAGTCTCCCACCCAGACTACATTATGTGCCCTTACACTCCTTGGTTATCCTCCAAGTAGAGTTCAACATGGAGGAGAACTGATTCATCAATGGGTTTTGAGGGGAGGGGAGGACAAGGAAAAGGAGGGGCAGGGGGCAACCAGGAGTTGGTTTCCTTGCCTATGTTTCACCTGATGCTATTAAACTCCTAGGAGTCCAGAATCAATGTTGAGGATTCCCAGGAAATCCTTCAGCAGGGAGTCATCATAAAATCATACCATAGAAACAATGTCAGGCTGCTGTTTGACTAGGCTGTGTGACAGCTCTCCCAATTTTGGCACAAACTCCCAGATAGTTGAAAGAACAATATTATTTAGTCAACAGGGCTGTGTGCGCTATTTTAATTTCTAATGCTTAATTGATGTCTTTTATCACACCTTGTAGAGGTAAGGTGCAGGTGAGTGGCTTGCTGGGCGATTTCAGGAGGCATTTTTGATTCAACCACTTTGGAGGATAACCAAGGAGTGTAAGGGCACATAATGTGCTCTGTTGTCACGTGGTTGACTCATCTGGAGTCACATGTCATACAGACCAGGTGAGGATGGCAGATTTTACTTCCTTGAGGACATTTGCGAAGCTGATGGAATTTGACAATAACCAATAATGGCTTTGTGGTCACCACTAAACTAGCTTTTAGCTTCAGATCTATTAATTGAACCCAAACTTTTGTGGTGTGACTCAAACTCATGTCCCTAGAGCATTATCCTATAACTATGGACTACTAGTCCAGGGATGTTGCCATTACACCACTACCTAGCCTAAGTTAACTGAAGACACGCTGGAACACAGCCATAAAAGATTTTCACACAGGGCAATTTTTGAATTCACTATGACACAGAATGGCTAGTGGTAGCTGGTGAAGATCAGTGAATGAGATTTAAAAGGAGGTAAGATAACAGTGATGGAGTCTGGTTTAGTTGAGGTTTATGTACAGCAAAGCTTCGAAAAATTACTGGAAGTTACTGGGGTTAAAGGCTTGAATGTGGCTGCAATTGAGATAGGATTATTTCAGAAGTGGAAATTAGTAATCTTGATAACAATCTAAATGACAGGTTTAAAACTCAGCTTGAGGAGAAGCTGGTTGTCGCTATTAGATTCAGCTTAAGCAAATGAAAGCTTGTGTATGAGAGAAGCTTCACCTTAAGCAAAGGGAGAGTTTCTGTGAGAGAGACAAATCCACTTACAAGGAGGGTCTCCTAGTTTCTAGGTTACAGGCAATACCAAGAATCAACTACACTTTGATATGGCAGTTCGAATAATACAAGATGAATAAGGTCACATAGGCAGCATGTCAATAACATATTAGTAAGTGACTGCAGCTGACAGTCCTAGGGAATGCTGGAGCTGACCATGTGGGATACATTCCCTGTATTGTGTTCTGTATTGCACAACAACTATTTATATCTATATAATGCCTTGGGATGCAGTACGATATTGCAAGCTGAAAAATGAACGTTATAGGACCGCTTGTAACACCAAAACTCAAAAAAATCCCTTTAAAACAGGTGACATCACAGATGTCGATTTCAAGAAGAGTTAGATAGGCAGCAAGGTTTAGAAATGGAATTCCAAGCTTGGGGCTTTAAAGGTTGCAAAAGCAGCTTCCATTGCTGGGGTGAAAGAGATATCTCTTAAACCAAAAACAGACTCGCACAGCCATCTCGGAAGGTTCCAGAGCTGGTGGAGGCTACAAAAATAAAGGCAGGCAAGGCTTTATAGGAATTTCAACAGAACAATGAGAAATTTAATTTTGCTAAACTGGGAGCTAATTTCAGTCAGAAGCTACAGGAGATGAGTGGTGACCAGGAAGGTAAAAATAGAAGCATCAATGGATAACATCATAGAGGAAAAGCGATGGGGGATGACACAGTATTGAACATATTGACATGCAGATGAGAAACTTTAAAATATAAAATTGAAATAACTTACTCCAATAAAAGGAATAAACTTCTGACAGGAATCTTCATCTGGGCTATAGATTAAGGGGGGAAAAGAAGCATTAAATTTAATCCACGAGACCACAAGAGAAGGAGAACCAAGTGATGCAAATAGTAACATGCAGTAACAATTCTGTTTCATCAAATACTCATCTTTCAATTTGCATTTATACGCAGGATCATTTTTCAAATCAGCTGCAAAAATTTACGCACAGCATATACGCAGCAGCAGGAGAGTAACGTACAGTAGTGTGGCTTCAGGCACAGAGCACTCCGGCCAACATTATCTTCCAAACTGTTTTAATGCAAAGACTTTTAAAACAATTTTGAAGCAATTTACTGGAATGGTAGCGTGGGTGAAGGAGTTCAGATATATGGAAGTCTAGATTTATTCTCAAAATGTACCTTTAATTTCCAAGCCAATATTCTAAAATGTGCCAAATCCTTTTAAAATAAAAGAATCAAACTGCGCAGGGAGTTAGTCAAACCTACATAGGGGTCCAATAAACTACAACGAGAAATTACTCTCATAATTCTTATATACGATACTTCCATCAGTTAAAAATGACAGTGTATCTCAGGTGAGAGTATAAACATTGGAGGAAAAGGCAAAGGCAATGGATAAAGTATTAAAGATTATATAATGACTTTAGATGTCACTTTTGCAAATTATGTTACAAGAGACAGAGAGTCTTTGAGAAATGCTGAGGCAAATACTGGGAATAATGCAGGAGACAAAATTCTTAGGGGAATACTTTGCGACTATTGGGAGTACTGTAGGATGCACGAAACCTTTCATAGTTATGGGAATATTACAAGCCACAGAAACTCAGGTGAGTATTGGGCTTGGTAAAGAACATGGGAATTCTAAGGACAGCTCTGGGACTGTCTGGTTAATCACTATTTCTGGGGTTAAAACAGTAGAATTGATGCATTCTGATGAACATTTTTAGAGTAATCAGATTATACCTCCACATCAATTTAGTGTTTATTTTGAAGATTCTTGAAATAGTTTCAAGGTCCCTGCCGAAGAATGGCATGTCTAAAGTAAACTGTCAGGTTTCTTGAACCGTGAAACTAGCCAAGGTGAGTATTGCTGGTCATGACTGAACAAAAAAGGCAAACCTGAGCAAAATGCCATGTAATAGGTCCACAGCTTAAAGGTCAAACTCAAAATTTGCATTGCACCTAACGGTACTGGAAAACATTATGAACATCAAAGTAACATAATATATTCAGCATAAATACCACTTTTTCTTAGTTGCTAATATTTCTGATGACAAGTCACTGGACGCAAAACGTTAATTCTGCTTTCTTCCCACAAATACTGCCAGACCTGCTACATTTCTCATGCAATTTCTACTTTCAATTCAATAAATAAATTGGAAAATACTTGAAAGGGCCAGATTTCCAGGAATTTGGGGAAAGTATAGCAAATTGGATGGTTCCCTCAAAGAGCTGGCCAAATTTATATCATTCAATGTTCTGAGCAGAAAGAAGGTTTAGACCTGTTGCTATCCTACATTGTCATGAATTTACCAGCTTGTCTGTTGCTCTTGGAACAAAGGAGATTTGATAGGTTTGCACAACATTATAACAGACCAGATTTAGATCAGGCAGACAAAAGCTTTCGCAATCCCTGAAGGTACATGCATTAGAAGACAAAGACGAGAAGATTTTTGTCTGTTGCACCAGATAGGCTCAGAGAACATAGCAAGATAAGAAAGGATGAGGAATAAAAACATTGTTAGAACATCTTTCGTGTTGTCACGCAGTCAGCTAAAAACTAGCAGTAGGTGGAAGTCACTTGAGTGGCAAATATTTCAATGGTGCTGGTCCAAAACAGCTCAATCATTAAAACTGGTTATTTTAAATGAGAAAGAATGTGTCAGAAAAGAATACGCAGCTGAACAGGAGTATAGGGAACAGTTATAAAGATTTCTTTTATGTATTACTTTGACAGCAAGTCCTGGCACTGCTATCACTGCCATTGAAAAGGTCAAGAGCAGTTCCATCATGAGAAGATGGTCCATCTGCAAATTTCCCTCCAAACTTTGCCAGTGCTACCAACACAACTGAGGCAGATAATGTTGAGAGTACCAATCAACTGCACCAGAACACATAGGTCAGGAGAATGGGCAGACAGGAAGCTAGTTTAATTTGGTATATACAGGGAATGGTGCAAAAATGCATTGGCATAGAGAGAGGCAAGAGAGTTAATGGCCCAGTTCTAAAGAGTGTGCATGAACAAAAGGACCTGGAGTTCCTGTGCCTAGATCTTTGAAGATGGCAGGACAATTAAAAGTGTGGTTTAAAAAAAAAGCAAGTGTGATCTTAAGTTTCATAAATAGAGATTTTGAGTACAAAAGCAGGAAAGTTATTCTGAATATTTACATTGCTTTGAGTAAGCCACAACTCAAGTATTCATAGAGTCATACGGCACAGAAACAGACCCTTCGGTCCAACTCATCCATGTCGTGTTTCACAAATTAAAACTAGTTCCACTTTCTTGCGTTTGGGCCATATCCCTCTAAACCTTTCCTGTTCATGTACATGTCCAAATTTTTTTTTAAATGTTGTAACTGTACCTGCATCTACCACTTCCTCTGGCAGTTCATTCCATATACGAACCACCCTCTGTGTGGAAAATATTGCCCCTCAGGTCTCTTTTAAATCTTTCTGCTCTCACCTTAAAAATACATCCCCAGTTTTGAACTCCCCCACCCTGGGGAAAAGACCTTTGCTATTCATGTTATATATGCCCCTCATGATTTCATAAACCTCTATAAGATCAACCCTCAATCTCTTACGTTCCAGTGAAAAAGGTTTCAGCCTACTCAGTCTATCCTTATAACTTGACCCTCCAGTCCCGGCAACATCTTGGTAAATCTTTTCTGAACCCTCTCCAGTTAATAAAATCCTTGCTATAGTACGGTGACCTGAACTATATACAGTACTCCAAAAGTGACCTCACCAACATCCTGTACAACCTCAACGTGACATCCTAACCTACACTAATGGTCTGAGCAATGAAGGCAAGCATGCTAAACGCCATCTTAACCACCCAGTCTGTGACACAACTTTCAAAGAACTACGCACCTGAACCCCTAGGTCTCTGTTCGACAACATTCCCCAGGGCCGTTGCATTAACGTACAAGTCCGGTCTTTCTTTATTTTACCAAAATGCAATACCTCGCATTTATCCAAATTAAACTCTATCTGCAGCTTATCAGCCCATTGGCCCAATTGATCAAGATCTCTTTGTAATCTTAGATAACTTTCTTCACTGTCCACTATAGCGCCAATTTTGGAGTCATTCACAAACTTATTAACCACGCCTCCTCAATTTTCAGAAATCACACAACACCAAGTTATAATCCAACAAGTTTATTTGAAAACACAAGTTTTCAGAGCCTTGCTCCTTCTTCAAATTTTAAACAAGGTCTCACACCAACATGCATTGTCTGACCTAAAATATCTCCTCTTCTTTACGCTGATAAAACCTTTATTTCTCTCAGGGCAGTGACTTAGAAGAAATTTAGAGATTTACATATACATATTAATCATTTAAAACTTTCTAACTGATTAAAGATTAAACAGCATTTTAGGTTTGTTTAATACATCCTTAGTGGTGTGACCCTTTGATCTTTTACTTATCAATTCTGTGTCTGATTCCACCTCTCTCACTAACACCTGAAGGAGGAGCATGGATCTGAAAGCTTGTGTTTTCAAATAACCCATTGGACTATAACCTGGTGTCGTGTGATTTCTGATCTTGTCCACCCCAGTCCAATACCGGCACCTCCACATCCTCAATTTTCGTCCAAATCGTTTACATAAATGACAAAAATGGACCCTGCACTGATCCCTGTGGAACACTGCTGGTTACAGGCTTCCAGTCCAAGAAACAACCCTCTAGCACCCTCTGTCTCATACTATCAAGGCAATTTTATATCCAATTGGTAAACTCTCTCTGAATCCCATGTGTTCTAACTTTACTAATTCGTCTAGGTTTTACTAAAGTCCATGTAAACAAAGTCTGTCACTTTGCCATCTAGATCTAATCACTACACTTTAGAAAGAATTTAAAGGTCTGTAGGAGGGTCCAGATGAGATTCAGCAGAATGGACTCCAAAAAGAAATTTTAACAATAAGGTTAGGTTGAAGAAGCTGGGATTGTACAACATCATAACAGATCAGATTTAGATAAGGCAGACAAAAGCTGTTGCATTACCTAATGGTACATGGACTATGGTACACACATGTAAAGATTTTTGGGAAAGAGATTCAGGGGTGAAGTCAGGAAGATCATTGCTGCGCAGAGAGTAGTATCAATAGGTGTAGCGATTGTAAAGAGGTCAGCCTGGTGGACCTCAAACAATACGAGTTCCCTGATTGGGGCTGTTAATCTGGTCCAGTCAGGGAGCCCTGGCTGACAGATAAGAACAGGAGTGTCAGACATCCTGTTTACTCTGAGCGAGGTGGATCAGCATCAAGGACTCTCCACGTGTAAATAAAGGGTGACTTGGTGACCGGATTCCGGTCTCTATGCAGTTGTTTCAGTGGCAATGAGCGAAAAGCATGCGCCTAAGAAATTCCCTTGCAACTGTCATTTTTGAGTTAGGGTAAGCATTTCTGGCATCATGCTGTTATTTGGGAAGCTTTACTTGTTCCATCCTGCCGAAGATTGGGCCCAGTATGTAGAAGGAATGTGTTTTTTTTTCTGGGCAAATAAAAGTTGGGGCAGATGAAAAGCAACGAGTAATTCTCTCTGACAGCTTGTGGACCCAGAGCTTTATTGGTTATTAGGAGCCTAACTCTCCTTGAAGCACCAGATACTAAAACCTTTGAAGAGCTGACAGATTTAGTTAAGGAATATTATGACACCAAACCTCCGCTAATTCTGAGCCGCTATCAGTTTTACTCAGCAATTCGAGAACCAGGGAATCTGTATCAGGATTTTTGACTGGGTAAAGATGACTGGCAGAGGCATGTGAACCTTAATGAGATGCTGAGACACAGTTTAACTAATGAT